AAAAAAAAAAAAAAAAAAAAAAAAAAAAAAAAAAAAATCAAGATGTTCACATTGGTGTTGTCCTGACTTTTCTTATGTGCAAAAATAAGGGAATTATCAGTTACTTCAAAGTTTTAAATGACTCATTATTGCATTCAGTGTCCTCATTTAATAAGCATTTGTACGGTCCTTACTTGATTTCTTCTAAATTACTGGTCTACTAATATTTCTTCTCGAAATCTAGATGTTAAAAAGTTATGAATGGTTACACTCCTATTAAATAAACTGCTTTGGTCCATGTCCCTACACTCCCAGATTTTGGACTATATACCAACTGCGGCTATTTTATCTTATTTTTTAGTTCAGGCTTAAATTTACTTCAGACATTCACTTTGGCAGTTAAGTTTATAGAAGTGGCCTTTGTCTACCACAAAGAAAATTATTTTTCTGGTGATCTGCAATTCAATACAATATAGTTTATGAACACCTAGTTTGAAATCCTTAAGATTTGTTTCTAGTCTTATTCTGCTTTTACCTAGATGTGTTAAACTGGCCTATTTATTTACCACCAATTAGGCTGTTCCTTCCTCATTAATATCTACAACAATAAAACGGAATAACGGCCTTTTCCAATAATATCAAGCATATTAACAATACCGTATGTATTCTTGAAATAAGGTCAGCCGATGTTTAAAAACTCAAAACAGCTTAGTATGCTGTCTGGCATCCCAGTTCTTTTCTCGTATGTACATACACTGTATACACACACTCATTTTTGGATGGTAAAACTGACGCTTCATTAGATTACTCTTTGGAAATCTACAAGTCTGAGAAGAACTGAAGATTACCATGTTAAACAAGTTTTCAACTGTTTAGCGTAGTTCTACGAACGTAAAAACCTCAGACAACTCTAAAGGGGAAGTTAAATCCATGCTCAGAATTTTGTCGAAGTTAGAAGTAAAAAGAAGGAAAGTCTGCCCTCCTAAATTCTAGGGAGGTGAGCAGACAACTCAAAAGGACAGTCTCGCACTCACTGCCTCCTTCTCGAACATGCTAGTCTTCCTTTCTTTTTTAAACCCCACTGACTGAGGCTGCGGGCCCTGGCCCAAGCCTGATTTCTGGCCTCGGCCTCGCTTCTCCATCTTGCTCAGCTTCCCAGTAAGCCGCCACGACTCGTTCCAGGTGGAGGCCAAAAGACTAAACAGCTAAGGGGGTGATCTGAAGCATCTCGACTGCACTGCGCGCGGCCGGAAATAAAGCCTCGGTCAGCAAAAGACCGGAAGCCACGCCCTGTGATGCGCGCGACCCCGCGGCGCGGCACGGCGGACTGGGCGTGACGTCATCCGCGTGCGCCGCGGCCTTGATGTGATGGAGGTAGGGCGTGTCCTGAGGGATGTCAGCGTAGGGTCCCCGCGAGGCAGAGCTGCACTCGCCCTTGCGGGTCGTGTTGGCCCATATAAGTGAATGGCTCGCTGACCGGTGTGCAGGCGGAGCCTGGGGCTGCCCCACACGAGGGCTGTATTCGTTTTTCTCCGCGGACGTCTGTGGTCCGGGATGGAGGCAGCTGGCCGGGACCTGGAAGCTAGCTGAGAGCCCTGACGACCGCTGCCCTACGAAGGCAGCGTCGGGTCCCTGTCACAGTGGCGGTCGAGAGGCGGAGATGGGCGGAGGAAGGGCCGGGCTGCCGTGCTGTTGTGACCAGGTGCTCGGAGCAGCAGCGTGGAAGGTCCGAGGTGTGGGTGGCCAACTTCCGCTTCCACTTTAATACAAGTGAGCTGTCAAAGACCCAGAGCCAACTTACAGAATTGTGTGATGGGAGTAGTCGTTTCCCCAAACCAAAAGCGGTGGAATCTTGGAGATGCGAGTTTCAATTCAGCTCAGAGTGGGGGCCAGTTATTCAATAAACTATTTATTGTGGACAGGAGCATTGCTATGTCTCGGGGATTCGACTCTGTGTAAAGAATGATCTGAGTGTGGTAAGATATTACAGTAGAGTTGAGGTTGGGGCAGCAACATGAGGCTTAATTTTCTGCACTCACATGTTCCATAAAATGTTTGTTTTGATAACTGGGATAGGAAAGGAATACCAAAAGGAATAATACAACATTCATGAAACTCATTGAGCGTCTGTGAACTTCTATATTAAACTCAATTGAGAAAATGATTTTTAAACCTTTAGACATTTGTTTTAAAACACAAATTATCTTTAATATTTAATTGCAGTGCTTTATTCATACAGCTGTTAGGTTATCGAGAAAACCTAACAGCAGTCATCTTTAAGTGCATTCCATATTGAGATATAATTTGTGACTTAGATATATTGTAATTACTATTCTTTCTTGTAAACCACCTTTTATGTTTTATATTTCAGATTTTAATAGGGGAACCCGTTACTACATGTCTTTCTCCCTCTGTATATGACATGATTTGTAAACTTGGGTTTGAATTCAAAGAAAATTGTGATATCAATAGCATTGTAACTCACACTGGCAAATTATGCTGGAAAACAATCACAAACTGTATGAGCTATACAGATCCAGGTTTGTACTATCTTTGTACCCTAAACTCTAGTCAGTACTCTTCTATTGAAAATATCATGATCTATACAATCCCCCTTTCTAATCATTGCTTTTTATTTTTGTTATGCTGTAATACAAACCTAACTCAAGGAGAAAAGAAATCAGTGTGTAAAGAGAGGGTTGAGGCCAGAGAAATCGAGAAAATTCAAGGGATGCTAGGCTGAGAAAACTGATGGGCTGCTGGTGTAGATCTCAGAGCTTTGAGACAATTGTCTGTAGAAGTCATGGAAGTAAGGGTATGAAATGATTACTGGTAGATCATAGAATCATTTTAAATGTCTTCCAATATTGTACTTTTTTGGGAAAGGGATGTGGCCTGGTAGTAAATTTAGTAATAGTTGTAACAACTACAAATGAAACTGCTGTGGCCCACTAATTCCATTTTCAAGAATTAATAAGATAGCTGTGTTTGCATGTATGAAAGTGTGTATGTGTGTAAGGCTATTTGCAGCATTGTTTGTCTTGGCTAAACAAGTCAGTAATTGGGAAAGAGCCAGACGTCAAGCATTATGGTATTGATTCAATAAATTCTGATAAATACACATAGTGGAATATTGGGCAGCAATAAAAAGGAATGAAGAGGCTCATCTGATGAAAATTTCTCCAAATGAAAAAAATAGAAGCAAATAGTTATATTTGCTTTTATGTGTGTAAATATTTGTAAATATATACAGGAAATAACACCAGTTACAGAGTTTGGGGGGGGCAAGTGAGAGACTTTCACCCTTCTGTTTTTCATCATGTGCTGTGTGGATATTCAACCCCAAACTCACCAAAACAAAAAGACATACATAAAATCCATAATATAAATATTTTTTTTCAAATAATTCATTGACATTAGCCATCTCCTGGTCTAATCATGATAAGTTAAAAAATAAAAAGGTTACAGTGTTATATACAGTAATCCCTCTTTATCCTGGGAGTATACCTTTGAGTGCCATGCAAAATAATGCATATCACTGAATATATACTGTGTTTTTCCTATGTGCTCTGCAATGTTGTCGTGTGGAACCACAGTGGTACCACATGTGCCTTTGCAAGTTTTATGCCCCAGTGCTTCCTTTGCATCACTCACTACTTTTGTTTTTTGGGCCCATAGTTAAGTAAGAATTACTTGAACATGGACGCTATGCTGCTGTGTGATAGTTGATCTGGTGAGGAGACTATTAAATAACTAGTGATTGGGTATTGTTTACAGTGTGGATGCACCGAACAAAGGGATAAGTGGGGCAGTGTAAAATTTTATCATGCTGCTTAAAATATTACATAATTTAAAGAGGATGAATTATTTGTAAAACTTCCATTTAATATTTTTTGTACCACTGCTAACTGGGTAACCGAAAGTTTAGATAAGAGGAGACTGGTATACAGTGTGAATCTGATTTCATGTGAATTTATATGCAACTAAAGACATTAAAGTATTTTCTCCTGTTTGAGTATTTTGCAGAATATGCTGATTATTTTTCTTTTATAGTAAAATCAACATCATATAATTTATCTCCAATGACATTTGTTTATCATATGCGCAATTATAAGTTGATTGTTGATTTTGTGGAAGTTTGATAAAGCACTTTTTCTTTTATGATTTAGATATTTTTCATCATGTGATATGGAGCTGTGGTACTATAATACTTATTTTCTCATCTTTTAAGACCAGAGTCTCAATTACTGGGAAAGCGTGCAGCACCTGGGCCCTGTGTGCGAAGCCGTCCATTTACATTTCTTATCTCTGACCAAGGGACTGTTTGAAATTCAGTATGTGCCGTGGTTCCAGTGGACAAGTTTTCCAGAGGTTTGGCTTTTGAACACCTTTAGAAATAAAAGACTTGGCAAATGCCACTCAGAGACTCTCATTACTTACCTGTTTTAAAGAGTTCAGGTCTCCATCCCTGGGCCCTCCCTCTGCAGAAGTCTGAGGCGATTGTGAGAGAAACATGAATTACTGTGCAAGGTCTCCACGGCCTGAGCTGAGAAGCACACTCCTTTGAACAAAGGCAACTTTGGGATCCATAGGTTTAGGAGTTGCGGAGGTAGTGTTTGATACAAGGATGCTCATTCTGAGACAGATCATCAGCCTTCCAAAGTACAGGCAAGCCCCCTAGGTGAGACGGTGAGGTGTTCTTAGGAGACCAGAGGTGAAGATGCATGGTTTTTAAAAGAATAAATAGGTGGAAAAATAGGTAGTTTGGGGCCCAACTCAAATCCTTGTTTTAATTATTTTGTTGTTCATTTTTTTCTCCATTTCATTTAACATGTGAAGTGACCACAGTAAAGCAAAACTTACAAGTCTCATTCTAAAATATATTGAATTTCCTAATTTAAAGTATCCTTACTGCTTCTCTATGTTTCCTTTCACTGTGATAAATAAAATACCTGCGATTAATAACTTATAAGGAGGAAATGTTGATTTTGGCTCAAGGTTTCAGAGGATTCAGCCAATGGTTCTTGGCCCTATTGGTTGTGGGCCTGGGATGATGCAGAACATCATGGTAGAAGCTCATGGAGGAGGAGCACTGCTTGCCTTATGGTGGTCAGGAAGCAGAGAGGAGTAGGGCCTAGATCTCAATACCTCCTTCAAAGGCCCCAGCAACCTCCCTTACTCCAAGCCCCACCTGCTAACTGTTGAACCACCTGCCAGTGGCACCATAAACTAGTGACCATGCCTTTAGCTCGTGGGCTTATGGGAGAGAACTTTTAAGATCCAAATCATAGCATTCTTTTCCTCTCTCTTTTTGGTTTTGGTTTTTGTTTTTTGTTCTTCACTAAGCTATGTCTTCGCACCTTTTTTTATTTTTATTTTGAGACAGAGTCTCACTAAGTTGCATAGGCTGGGCTTGAACTTGTGATCCTCTTGCTTCAGCCTCCCAAAGTCACACCTGGAGTTACAGTTGTGTGCCACCAGATCAGAATTCTGTATTTGTAATAGCTTTTTTAAGTGTAAGGTGAGCAGCCTTGTTTTTTTTAATCTAGCATTAGGAACCATCCTAAATCATAATGGGAAGTAAATGTAGGTGAAAATATTAGATTTTTCAGTTCACAGTTGTGCCAGATTTATTCAATTGCATTTAAAGAATTTTCAAAGAACTTAGATATTAAAATATTTTTCTTCATTCTTTAGGCATTGTAGTATTTGAATTAAAAATTTACTTATACAAAAAATTAAAATGGCACTTGGAATATTTAGAGACCTGAATTTCAAGTGAGTAGTATTTCTATTAAGTATAAGTTCTGACATGTGTCTTATAGGTATTCCCTGAAGTATTTGATGCCTTGGGAGGCCTGCAGTCTGCTGCCGTTTCTTTGAGCTTAATGAAGCTGACATCGTGTCTGGAGCGGGCTTTGGGTGATGTAAGTGCTTATGGCCTAGTACATTACTTGGACAAATACACATCTGTCATTTGCCTTCAGATTCCTTGATTTTATCATTGTTTTCCTATAAAATACAATAATTTGGTATAGGTTTTCACTATATAATGTTCTTAGCATTAATTGGCTTGTTATAGTGTAATTGCTCTATATTTCTTGTTTCAACTTTAGGTATTCTTGTTAATTGGGAAAGAATGCCCCTTTCTTTTAAGAGATCTGCTTGCATCTAAGGAGCTTGCTTACATCTTTGGGCAGCCTGTGGTAAGCTTGTTCATCTAAAACTTACAGAATAACAGCACAAACCTGGTTATATTAGTTGATGCCACTGTGTTACCTTCCTTTCCAAATTCCCCCTCTTCCACCTACACTGAAGGTGTTCCCACCCTGAGTCTGACCATCGTAGAATAACCCCTGAGGTCTAGTCAGAGGGACGTTTTCAGCCATATTGCTTAGATCCATTACATGTTTGTAATAGTGACTCAAAATAGAGTAAGTTTTAACCCTTTAAAAAATGACAATGAGGTTTTGTCCTAAAATATCAGTGTTTATAACATATGGCAATTATGCTTCTTGCAAACATTCACTCACCATCAAAACACTTAGAAATGACAAGAAATGGTAAAGAGCCATACACTTTTTCAGTCCTCTAGCAAGCATATGAACAGGATATTCTCTTTCTTTTATCCCTCCCATTTCTGGGGATTGAACCTTTACGGGGACTTTTCAGTAAGCTACATCCACAGCTCATTTTAATTTTGAGACAGGGTCTTGTTAAATTGTCCAGATTAGGCTTGAATTAGTGATCCTCCTATCTCAGCCTCCCAAAGTGCTAAGATGACAGGTCTGTGCCACCACACTGACTAGAGACTTAAGGCTAATGGATAATGGCTGGGCAGCTGAATGACACAGGCCATACTGACAAGGAAGCCAGGACAGCTTCCTGCATAAAGCTGTGCTGGCCAAACTAGTAAGCAGCCAGATTCATTATTTGAAGGTGAGAAATTGTCATCAGCATGCTGTCTCACTTTTGGTCATATTACTACTATTTGCCAGCCAGAACTCTTAAGGGAGAAAGCAAATGTTATTTCAAATTTGCATTGATTTTTTCAACCATGCAGTGGTGATGTAACCTTTCAATGATTTGCTGTCCAACTGGGTTAGATGGATGTGCTCAAAGTCTTCATTGGCTCACCCTGTGGACTCAATCTGCGGAATGTCCTGTGGCATGGGTTTGCATCACCTCAAGAAATTCCTCCAAAGTAAGCTGCTGAGTTTCTTTTTCTGATCTACGTGTGAGCTTATTTTATATTAATTTTCCTAAGAGAAAAAGATATATTTTGTGACAAGAGAGAGCATTTGTTTGTTTGTTTGTTTGTTTGTTTAGAGATTGGCTTCCCTAAGTCACTAAGTTGTCCAGGCTGGGCTCAAACCTGTGGTCCTTCTGAGTATGAGTTCTGACATGTATCTTAATAGCTATTCCCCAAAGTATTTGATGCCTTGGGAAACTTGTGGTCTGCTGCCATTTCTCAGAGCTTAATGACACTGACATTGTGTCTGGAATACTGGGGTTACAGACATGTGCCAGCATGCCTGGCTAAAAATGAGAGTTTGAGACAAAATTTTGAAGATCGAGTTGCACATTAATAACAGTTACTAGAGTGGTGATGATGAGGTTTCAGTACTTTATACCTCAAAGGCCATTGAGAAGACATAGTAATATAATGACCCATAAACACATCCCTGGTAGAAGCCTCAGGAGTTTGTGAGATATTGTTGTTCCTCCTAACCTTTGTACAGTTTAATTCCTTCATCTAAGGGGAATTTTCTGCAATTTGATAGTATATTGCTCTGTTAATATAAAGCCTTTTGTATGTGTGACTGTGTTCATTCTTCTAACAGATGTCTGTGGTATTTTCTCCTAGATACTGTTCAATGATGCTGTTATTGACAACAGGATTGGGTCAGTTACTTGAGAGTTACTTTCAGCGGACTAAAGTCACATTGGTGCATCGATCTTTTGCAACTCTCACAAACTTAGAGGACTTGATTGTTTTTCCTGGCAAGTACTACATTTAGTATTTTCTCCTTTATATATCTTTGTGAAGACATTTGTAAAGCTAGTCAGCAGCATCAAGACTTGAATTCTTTTTTTTTAAGACTTGAATTCTTGAAGTGGACTAAAGTAGTTTTTCTCCAGTGACAAGATAGCTTTGAGATGTTGAAGAACTCATTAAACATGACCCCTTCCCACCATTCTGGGACTGCCGTGGGGACTTAACAGTCATGGCTACCTGAATTATTAACATGGTAGAACTAGGCTTTGACATACCAAAGCCTTAAGGCTGTTTATAGTACACATTTTTTCTGCTTTTCCCTCACAATCATACCCCCAGTACCTATAGTATAAAGGGTCTCCTACATTTTCTGAACACATGTTTTTCTTGTCATTGTACCTAGCTACTTGACCCTGAACCCTGCTCAGAGTTGTCATCTGAGTTACTATAGAGACACAGTTCTCCATGTCTCCACTGACATCTCCCTGGCCACTGCGCTGTGGCTATAAAACAGGTTTCTTTGTCTTTGAACAACGCATTGCCATGAGGTCTTTGTTTACCTGCCTGAAGGGGTTGGATTAGCTCTCTGGCATCTCTCCCTAGTTACATTCATTAGTGTGATTACATTAAAGTTACTTGCTTTTTTTTTTTTTGCAGACATTACTTATAAGATACTTTCAGTGTTAGAAGAAGTGATGACAAAATCTACCTTTATATTAAAAATCATGGTTCCATATTGGGAAATTGCACTAATGACGTTCAAGGCACACAGGTAATGGAAGGGTGGCATAGCAGGGTGGCTGGTGGCCAGGTCTTTTCAGCGCCCTTGACTATTCTAGTGTTTTTGCTGTTAGGATAGAAGTGAACATATGGGGCTCACTCAACAGTAGACCAAAAATAAAATACCTTCATATAAAAGACAGCTTATAATTTTGTTTGATGCATTAGGTGCTATCCTGTTGGTACTGATACAGTTTTTTTGGTAGTATTTGATAATGGAAAACAGGGCCTCTCTAAATCCAAGTTGCCCATATTGGGCCCAAACTTTCAATCCTCCTGCTTCAGCCTCCCAGAGTGCTGAAATTACTGATTTTCACTACTATACCTGACTTCAATATTTGTTTTTCAGAATTTTCTTTTGAGGTTTTACTAAAAGAGAAATAATTGAGTCCAGAATTAGAGAATGATTGAAACACAAGTCAAGTAAGCTTAGTCATCATCCTCCCTTGGGAGCAAACCTGTGCAAGAGCAAAACACGTGTGACATAGAGAGACCAGGACAAATGAGTTGGTCTTTGTTCTTTCCTAGATGACTTCATCCTGGTACATTGTTGGTGTTTAAGTAGTTTTGAAAACTGATGGAAAGGCTGGGGATTTAGCTCAGTGGTTCCACCGCCTGCCTCACAAGCACAAGGACCCAAGTTTGATCCCTGGTACCAATAAATAAATAAATAAATAAAAATTGATGGGAAAAGGTAGATCTCTGATGATGTTACTCTAGAAGCTACTAAAAGTTGTTTATCAAATATTAGAACACCAGAAAGTGCTTTCTAATCTTATGGAATTTTGATTGTTTTTAGTTTTATTTTTTTGTATTAGAAAGTTTAACTTCTTTCTTTTGATACCACATTTGTTGTAGCTGGACTATGGCTTACTCATTGTGATGATCATGCTGATATTTATTTTTAAAATATGAAGTTTTACTGGTTTTTCTTCAATTTCACAGGTTTGCTGACTGTGCCATATTGTTATTGACACAGCTGGAGGCTGGACTTAGGAGAGTTTTTGCTGCAGTTAACAAATGTCCGGACAGACTCTTGACTGCTGAGGTATCCAGCCTTCTCTTGTCAGATATGATTGCTATGGCTGTGATGACAGTTTTTTGGTGGCTAACTAGAAATTTTAAGAACTATTCGTCTCATCCTCTTTGCCATTGGAGTGAATTTTTAGCCAAGAATTTGGAAGACTTCTTTGTCATTTTTTTGTGGCTTCCTATCAATGATTTTATTGTGTTTACATTTATTATAATTATCATTATTTTAGGTATATTTCCAAATACTCTTTTAGGCTTTATGGTATCATGAAAGTCATAATCACTTCACTTTCTGTAGCCATGTCAGTGGCCCTGTCATTTTAATCCCATAAGATGGTCATGGCCTCTAGTGCTGGTGCCAGAGAGTGGATGTTTCATCAAGGACCTGTGTGCTGGTGACTCTGTCACCTGACACATCAAAGCAGACCTGGGCTTGACTTTGACCTTAAGTAAGTAATAAGAGCTGAGCTTTAGTTTCTTTAACTGTAAAAAAGGAAAGGAATACCTTTCAAGAAAGTTGTAAGATTTAGAGTTGGTTTCTATAAAATACACAATATTGTGCCTGCCATGAGGCTTCCCCACCGCCCTTTCCACATGCGTACAGACACGCTTGCAGGCAGACAGGTACAAATATGTTTTTGTTTTGTTTTGTTTTGTTTTTTCCTCTCATTGAGTTTATTGGTACATTTTAGGTATATAGTACAGTTACATTCATCATTGATATCTTGTACCTTTACATGACAGGTCTTGGTTCTCAGTTTTTCCCCTTGTCCCTTCCCTCCCTTCACCCCCTCCTCCCCTCCCCATTTACAAACACTTTATTTCCATTTTTACATTTTCTCATATTTTTTTCTTTTCCCTTATTACCTTTCCCCTATCCTTCCCACTTTCCCTACACCTTTAGCCCTTGACCATGTGAAACAGCCAGTCATTTTTAACATGACAATGGGCCCTGAAAGAGAGAAACAAGCACTGTCAGAGTCACTTGGATGCAGCCAATTTAAATTTCCTGTCCGTGATCACTTTACCCCATTGATTTTGGGCCTGTAGTACCACATTCTGGCAGGAGCATGAAAGCAGCCACTCCTAGGAAATAAAAGAGTGAAGAAATTGAAGTGTCCCAATTCTCTTCAAGGGCATGCATCCAGGGACCCAGAGATGTCCCACAAGCCTTAGCTCCCAAAGACTGCACCACTTCTCAGTATTGCCATGCTGGAGACCACACCTTCAACACAGGCCTTTGCAGGGCTCTTAGATGCAACCATAGCAAAGACTGACCTTTTAAAAGAACCGCTAGATAAAAACATAAGAACTGTATTAATGTGTATTTAATACATTTAATGTGTAATGGCGTTTTTGACACAAGTATATATTGTGTAATATTCAAATCAGATTAAACATATCTACTTCCTCAAACATCATTTCCATAGAGTAAAAGCATCTCTTAGGGTTTAAATCCACAGTGTCCTCTCAAAACCTCATCTATTCAGAGATGGAGCTTTTGGAAGGTGCTTAGATCATGGTGGTGTTATAGACTTCAGGGGATCTGTCCATTGATTAGTTCATAGTTGAGTGTGCTATTAGGAGGTGGGAGCTACTTGGAGATGGGTCACTGGGGGTGTAACTTAGAAGGGTACATCTTGTCCAAGGCTCCTCCCTTTTGCAATCTTTCTGCACCTTGATTGTCGTGGGTTGAGTTGTTTTTCTTGTGCCTTTTCTTTCCACATGCCATTTCTGCCATGGATCCAGCCAAGCGTGCATGGGCTGAACCTTCGGAAACCATGACCAAAGCAAACTTGTTCTTTAAGTTTATGGTGTTGGGTATTTTGTCCCAGTGATGGGAAAATGACTGGTACAAGCCCTAAATCCTTTCCTCTAGCTTTTTGAAATATGTAGTACATATATGTGTGTGTGTGTGTGTGTGTGTGTGTGTGTATACATACATACATACTGTGTCACCCTACTGTGCAGTAGTGCAGCAAAATTCCATCTACATGTAATTTAGTACCTGTTGACCAACCCCCCCACCTTCCCACTCCCCTTCATCTACTGTCTCTAGCCTTCACCATTCACCATTCTACTTTCAACTTCATGAGATCAACCTTTTTTTTTTTATTATTCCACATATGAGGGAGGTTATACGGTACTTGTTTTTCTGTGCCTGGCTTATTTCACTTACCATAATGATCTCAGATTCTATCCAAAGTACCATGACGTGATTTCATTCTTTTCTGTGGCTGAATAGTATATGTATCAGTGTATATATGTACACAGATTTGTTTTTTCCCATTTCTTGAGTGTTGTGAACAGTGCTGTAATAAATAGAGAGATACTTGCTGTGTCAGTTTCGTTTCCTTTGGATCTATGCCTGGGAATGAGATTGCTGGATTTTATGGTATTTTCATTTTTCATTTTAACCCCTCTTTCTCCCCCACCCACCAGTACTAGGGATCAAACTCCGGACCTTGTGCTTGCCATGCAGGCGCAGCACCACTGAGCTACATTCCCAGCTTCATTTTTAAGTTTTTGAAGAAGCTATGTACTGTTTTCTTCAATGGCTGTGCTAATTTACATTTCTACCAAACTTATGCAAGCATTCCCTTTTCCCAGCATCCTGCTAACACTTGTTATGTTTTGTCTTTTTGGCAGGAGCTCTCCTATTAGAGTTAGGTGATACATCACTGTGGTTTTGATTTGCATTTCCTTGATGATTTAGTTATGTTGAATACTTCTCCATATACTTGTTGGCCACTTTTGTGAAATGTCTGTTGTCCATTTTTAAATTGTGTTTTTAGGGCCAGGGATTTAGATCAGTGTTGCTCCCGCCTATCTTGCAAGTAAAAGGTACAGAGTTCAATCCCTGGTACCAAAAACAAAACAAAACAAAAAATAAAGAAATTGTGTTTTTAAATTTTTTTTCTTTTGAGTTTTTTTTTAGTTCCTTATATATTCTGGTATCAACCCCTAGTCAGATGTGTAGTTTGCAATTGTTTCCTTCTAGTCTAAAGGTTGCCTTTGTACTCTGTTGTTTCCTTTGCTCTACAGAAGATTTTGATATAATCCCGTTTGCTTTTACTTTTGTTTCCTGTGCTTTTGGAGTCTTGATAAAAAACTCCTTGTCAATTCCAGTGTCCTGAAATATTTCCCTTATGTTTTCTTCTAGTGTTTTCATGGTTTCAGATCTTGCATTTAAATCTATAAGCCATTTTTAGTTAACTTTTACAAACAGCAAAAAAGAAAAATGTAGTTTCTTCTGCCTGTGGGTTTCTAATTTTCTCAAGCTTTCTGACTTATGGGTTTACTTATTACAGGAGAGAGAGAGAGAGAGAGAGAGAGAGAGAGAGAAGACATTTATACTAGTTTTATAAAAATAAATAGCAAAGAGCATGGATAGTTTATGAAGATAAATGAAATATTTATGTTTTTGAGGAAGTGGTGATATTTAGAGGCAACTGTATATTTAGGATATAGCTCAGGAAAATTGATTTAGGGCCAGCAACACTGGCTTGAGACCTGCAGATATCAATTTTAGAATCATCTTCATAGTAATAAGTATTGAAAGACATTTGATAATACAAATTGAGCATCTCTCATCCAAAAATCCAAAACCTTTGCTATAAAATCTAAAACTTTTTGAGTAATGACAAGATCCCACAAGTGGAAAAATCCCATATCTGACCTTGTGTGTTGGGTGCGGTCCAAACATACGTGTACTAACAACATGTATAAAACCTCCTACTGGCTATGTGTGTAAAGTGTACATGAAACATAAATGAGTTTCGTGTTTAAACTTTAATCCCAGCCCCAAGAGTTTTATAAAATGAGTTTCATGTTTAAACTTTAGTCCCAGCCCCAAGAGATTTATAAATCTCAATCCCTTTCTCTGTCCCTTTCTCTCTCTTCATACACACACACACACACACACACACACACACACACACAAATATCCAGAATTTAAAAATCCCCTGTCACAGTAGGAATCAGTAAGTGACACACAGAGAGGCAGCAGAATGGAAGTAAAATAAATTTACTTATCGATAAGGGTCGATCGCACATAAGCCATGCCTGGATCGACGATGCACTGGGTTACAACTCCTCCTTTTATAGAGTTTTACAGCCTTGACTTTATTTGGGTGGTTACATTTCATCCTCACAGTTCAAATCACAGTCACAGAATAGTTAATCTTTTCAACCCAGACATAGCAGTTCTTTGTAGTTGGGGAGTTTACCTTTAAGATTCGCCTAGTTATCTATTCTAGTCCATAGGAAAAGGGTGTTCAGGGCCACAGAAGTAAATGTTGGTAATGCTCCTTTTTATCTTGACACTTTTACAATCAGGTGGCTTCAGTCTCTGGGAGCTGAAGACCTTGACGTGCCCTGTTATCTCAGGGTAAGGCCAAATGCCTCATTCAGCAATCAGTGCCTTCAGTGCCTTTTAGTTTTGAGCTAAACAAACTGCTGTTAGAAACAGCAGAAGCAACTTTACATTGTAACGCATTATAGGTTTTTGCTTTTTATAAAAGTTTTCCCTATTACCTTAAATCTGAAATACTCTGCTCCCAAACATTTTAGGTAAGGGACATTTAACCTGAATTAAATTGAAAATATGTCATTAAGCAATAATGAAATATTTCTCTGGACCTGGGATTTAGCTCTGGCACCATGCCTGCCTCACAAGTGCAAGGTCCTAAGTTCAATCCCTGGTACAAAAAAAAAAAAAAAAAAAAAATCTTAAGTAGTGGCTTATACAAAATACTGATTTGTCACACTGTGTAAGTTACTGCCTTTTCCCGGAAACCTTTGGAGGCAGCCTCATTCAAGCCCACCTGAGTCTGTGGGGTTAAATAATTGCCCAGGATCTCACTTCTTGAAGGTGATGAGGTTGGGATTAGCACTCTGAGAAGTGTGGCCTGGAGACTGTGTCTGAACTTGCACAGATCATACCAAGATGCAGGTGACACAAACAGAAAATTCTAAGTTATACTCTCTTGTGCACAAATACCAGCGAAAGGTAGAATAGTGTGTGTGGGCAATGATTTGTGAAGGTCTTCGATCATAAACTTTAAAAATAACTGAGCTAAAGGATTTGTAAAAACAATGTTCTAACATGCCTAGACTGTCAGAGTAAATGAATTTGTGTGTGTGTGTGTGTGTGTGTGTGTGTGTGTGTGTGTGTGTGTGTGTTGCTGGGGTTTAACTTAAACCAGGGCATTGTGCATGCTAGGCAAGCACTGTACCACTGAGCTACACTTCCAGTACTTGTCTTTTATAATGTATTTATTTTTCCCCAAAGTGTTGTTAGATGAAAGTTCACTTTCACCAAAGGTGGAAGAGAGGCCACAGACAAGACACACAGAAGGACGGGCTGTCAGTACAAGGCCTCTGTTCAAACAAGTGAGAGCAGTATTTCTTGTGTTGCATTGGAAAAGTTTGTTTCTAAACATGGACAACCAAGTCCTTTCCTCGGAGGAGGGTGCGAATGACAGAGGTGGTTTCACTAGGCACTGGCACCTCCCAGCTTTTTGATTTCAGCTTTGTGACTATGAGACAATTTTTCTTACTTTGAAAGATGTTATTCTATTGCATTTTGCTTTAATTATTTCTTATTTCTTTTTCTGCAGTCAACAGCTCTTTATACCACCTTTGATGAAGTAAGTATACTTATAAGGCAACTTACGATAAAACATTATCTTCTTTTAAAATCCAAATTAAAATATGAAGTTATTGACCATAATTGTATACTTACAGGAAAACATGAATAGTGATATAAGCAAAAAAGTCTTTAAATGTACTATCAGGTTAATTTTGAGACCCAATGTTCTAGTTTCTATAGTTATACAAAACTTAAAAGTTAGAAACATGAAAGGTATTGAAATTTTTGGCTATACTTAGAGATGTACCTTTTAGATATAGAAGTAATGTTGATTATCTTTGTATGTGACATATACCTCAGCTATTGCTGTTTGTTTGTGTGCTGATGTCTTTAATCTGCACATTGAGGATATGATTCTAAAAGTGAAAACACAGAAGAGAAAGAATTAGAATTGAAAATGTCTTGTATCGTGCATGGAGTGTAGAGACTTCTGGGTGTGTGATCTTGCATGGTAATTCTCCTGTGCCCAAGCAGTGACAGCCCAGAACTGTTGGGAAGGCTGCAGTAGAGCTTTGGGCACTTGGGTCATTTTGCCTTACAATGGCTATGAGATTCCTAAGTGACTGTACAGTGAAGAGTTAAAAATGTACCTGCCTGCCTGCAGGTTTATTCCATTAGTAAATGATTTGCCGTTGTTTCAGTGCATGACCACACATGGTAATGTGAGGATTAAATTACATATGTAGTCAAATAAATCTGCATTGGGTTAGTGTCCAGGATTGGGTCAGGGCTGTTGGACTACAAAATCCCAAGTGCTGTCAGTTTTAAGGTAATGAATGCATAGGGAAGTAAGGCACACACATACACACACACAGACATGCACACAGAGTGCACAATGTTCAGTTAAAGCATAGGGTAGGTTTAGCATAACATGTTAGTTACAAGCAATTAAAATGAAATACGAAGTTTTAAAATCAGCAGTCACCATTCAGAAAGACTGTTTGCAACCAATATAATGGCTTTAAGAATGTGTGTATTTAATCTTTGTGTGTGTGTGTGTGTGTGTGTGTGTGTGTGTGTGTGTGTATAAGCGAGATAGTGTTGGGTCTGTGTGTAATAATTTAACAGTATATTTCTTTATTTTTGATGTTCTAGATACTGGCAAAACACTTAACCGATGGTAGAATCAACCAGCTTCCTCTTTTCCTTGGAGCGCCTGCTATGGTAAAGTGCTAGGTACTTCCCAGTCGAGTACTCTCATGCTTATGAATGTGTTTGTACTTTCCAGCAGGATATGGATGTGGGCCTGCTCAGGAGCAGCCCTGGACCCCTGCTGTGCTTTCTGCCTTAGCCTCTGCCACAGAGCTTGTGCTGTGACTCAGCTGGGCACTCTGCTTGATGCTGGACATTTGGATCCTATTTTAAACTTTAGCTGCCTTGTTCCTAAGCAATAGTGCATTTGCGTTTGTGAGGTAGAAGGTTGTGTATTTACTTTGTGAAATATAACAGTAGTCAAATTTGACGAAGAAGATGGAGTATTGGATGGAAAAGAAGTTAATTATTTAGAGCCATTTTGTATTTCTCAGGGTTTTAAAAAATATTTTATGAAGCTATTGCAGACTTTTTTGGACCACAAATAGATATTTATTCCTTCTGAGATTTAGTAGACGTATATTCTAGATTCCTTATCTCACTGGGCATTTGCTCCTGCCTCCAGAAAGCAGGATGGCTGAACCAGTTCATCTGATAGTCTCTTTCGTTTTGAATCTCTGGGACTCTTCGTTTATTGGCAGTGTGCCCAGATGAGTAGCTTTCTAACCTCTTTTCTCTGTAACCTGAGAAAGAGGCCTTGGGAGTGTGCTGTTAAAGGCAGAAGCAGCTGTCTTCATCAGCTTTAAAGATGGAAGAAGGGCCACAGACAAGCCAGGAGGGAGGAGAGGCAGTGGTACAACTACTCTGCTCATGCAAGCGAGAGCAACATTTCTTGCGTTGCCTTGGAAATGTTTGTTTCCAAATATGGACAGTCAGGTCCTTTCCTTGGAGGAGGGTGAGAATAACAAAAATGGTTTTACTAGCACTGGCACCTCCCAGGCGGCTCTCATTTCCATCCTGCCTGGTGCTTGAAGGATGCAAAGTCCCAGCAAGAACCTGCAAGGCTCATTATCCCCAGGGTTTCAAACACGTGCTGAGTGCCCCTCTTCTCTGAGCATTGCACTTGACCTTCCTTTTGCCTGGAACACTAATGAAACCTTTTCTCTCTGTTCTCTAAAAGGAATTTCTCTGGGATTTCCTGAACCATCAGGAGGGTCCCCGTATACGCGATCGTTTAAGCCACGGGGAGATCAACCTATATGAATTTCCAAAGGAAGCAGCAAGTCAGTTGCTCGCATTTTCCATTGTACTGTTACTAAGATTCTCTGATGCAGCAGTGCTTGCAACTGCTAAGGTAATGCACAGGGCAGACAGTCATTAGTGGGAGCTACTGTCAATCAGCTATAGAAGAATATATTTTATTTTTCACATGTAATTAACTCTTTATCATCTTTTGTTTGAGTTACAGTATCCTTGTACCAGCACAAGTATTTGTGAGTTGATAACATGCATGTATCAATCAGTACCATTAAAAATAAAATAATTTAATTCATTTCTTACATACACTTTGTTTTTAGCAGCAGAATGGTATTGAAAAGCAAAGAACAAATTATAAAACATAATTAACAAGATACTAGAAAATTTTTATAGGTGTCTGTTAAATTGTTGGGGTGGGATATTTGTTTCGGTCAGTTGATGGTAATTCTTTTGTTACTTTAAGATAATTTATATTAGAACATTTTATTGATTTTTTGTTTCCAGATTATATGTGTGACAGTTATTTGTAGAATGGTTTAAAAGTTTATACAAAATAGAAAAATTAAGATAACATTTGACAACCATCAGGACTCCATCTCCAGGCATAACTAGTGTTCACAGTTGGACGTCTTTACATCATGTCTTCTCCAAGAGCGGTCAAAGCTGTTCACGGGAGAATGAGCTCCGTGCCCCAGATTTTCATTCAATAAGACAGTGGCTGTGCTCTGCTGTGCTCTTTTCACCAGCTGTCTGTCATCCCCTTTCTTTAGCACAGCATCATGTATCAGTCCTTCATAATGGATGGATTATCATTTTGCCTGATGTGGAAAGTTCCTAATTATGATACGGAAATGAGCATGTTTGCTCATTTGAGTACTTATGTTAGTAAATTTGTGAAAGTAAGGTTCTAAGGCCAAAAATATCAGTGACACCATTTTCCTTTTTATATCTGTGTTCACTAGATGTCTGTAATTCTTTCATTTACTGCTTACCAATGACTTTTGCTCCATTCTGTTAAGATTTACTTTTTCATTGGTTTATTAATACTATTTGCCGCTTTCACATACTACCTATTGTCTTTAACCTTTTGTTCTTTTTATTTTTTCCTCTTTGGCTTCTGTATTTATATTCATTCTTAAAAGCTTCATTTGCTTTCAAAATGATAAATATATTCATAATCTCCCATAATATTTTTACCATTTCTTTTTTCCTCTAACATCTTTTGATACAAGTGAGATTTAGTTCATCCTGGGTTGAGGTAGAGAAACTAGCTTACTTTTTTTCCTTTCAAACCTAATGAGATGGCTGCACTTCAAGTAGAGAACCAACCTCTTTTTTCAACATGCAGTAGTCTCTGTCCTGAACTCTGCTGAAAGCTCTTGTCTTCATGGAAACTTTATGATATAGTTTAGTACCTGCTAAGTTAGTCTTCCATAACTCTCTTTGTCTCAGATACTTTCTGCCTGTTCTCTCATTATTATTATTTCATTTGAATGTGGTGGTTAAAATAAACATAAAACCCAGAAGACAAAAAGAAAGCAATGAGCTTTTGGTGTATTGGCACAGAGAGCTAACTTGTGTACTGTATTGGAGACTGCTCCAAGACTGTCTCCTGTCTCTTCCTGGCTTCCTATACCGGTACATGCCATCCTTGCAGGCAGGCACTTAGGCCACAACCTGCCAGTCCTCTCTGTTTTCATGTTCCACACTCAGTCTTCCTCTGCCTTGAAAGTATGTCCCAGATCTGTTATCCCGTCACTCTGCTGCTCCCACTTGGAGAAACCATCTTCATTCCCTTTGGAATGCTGCTGGCTGAGTCCCCTGCTTCCTCCTGTGACCCTTCATTCTCAACACAGCAGCCAGATTCTTTTCCCATGTTTTGCCCCTCTTCAACTGAATGCCTTCTAGTGGTTTTACATAGGACAGAGTCAGGTGTTTGGCCGGGACCTGCAGGCTGGCAGTTCCCCACAGACTCATCAATAACCTGCACTCAAGGCTCTGTATCCTGTGAGGACAGCCCTGATGGCACTGTGCGCCCCCTCCCCCCCAGCACTCTGGATGAGGTCTGTCTGCAAGAAAACAAGGTCAGCAGTGACCTTAGAAGTTAACTTCTCACCACTTTAGTCGTTTGTTCTGGACTGTTGAGAATTTTATAAAGTTACTGCTTTTACATTTGTTCAGCTCTCCATTCTCTTTGCTTCTATTGGTTTCCTTCGTGTGTGTTGGATTTTCCTCTTACATAGTTATGTCAGCTTCAGATAATGTTATTTTTATTCTTTTTAAAATGCAGATACAGTGTTTAGCAGTTAAGTGCTTTAGTCATGTAATTCCCTTTTAGTTGTATTGATTTAAAATTGGTTGTATTGCACTGAAAATTTTTACAGTTTGGTATCTTTGGTTTTTATGCAATTACAAATTTCTTGCATTTGGGACAAAGGTAGATGTGGGCTTCATAATTTATCATTGCTATTAGGCTCTATTTCAAAATCATTTTGCAGACATTCCTCCTTTAACACCCAAGTTTTATTCTTATGGATGGGTCGCTAAATGAGGAATTGTGTATGGTATGTACATGACAATATTCAGAACAAAGAAATGGTCAAAGCAAACTCCAACTTTTTTTTTTTTTTTTTTTTTTTTTGGTACCAGGGATCAAACTCAGGTCCTTGTGCTTGCGAGGCAGGCACCGGAACCACTGAGCTAAATCCTCAGCCCAAGGAAACTCCAACTTGGTCACTTTGCTTTTGTTTGCATAACTCTTACATGCAGTGCTGTAATGTATAACAACATAAAACTACAGTACTGTATAATGCAGTCAGCAAAACTTACAGTACTATATAAATAAGGTATATAGTACAAAAGAAGACATTGAGGCTCATATACAAAATCTACAGAACTGTACCGATGAATGAATGGACAGGTTGTAAGTCTGAGTGGAGGATCATAAACCCAAACCATTGTTAAACAGGTAGGTCATTAAACTAGGAATATCAGCATTGGCTGTGATTTGACTACTGGGTCCAACTTATTTTGGTGATGTTTTACTACAGTGTAACTGAGGAGGATAATGAGAAATTAGGATTCTAAATTAGCAATAATTCAACAGAAGGAAACTAACTAGAAGCCTGACCAAAAATTGTGATACCATGTATTTCTTATAAACTAGGAGGAAGCAGCAGTAACGCTGCTGATGAGACTTGCCGAAGGCTACCATTCTCGCTGCCATCCAGCGTTTCAGCTTAAAAAACAGGTATGCTGTAGCTGAGAGCTGGGCATAAGCCAGCATGTGTGAAACTGCTTCCTCTGCAGAGGCGTCCAAAGTGTCAGGCACTTGTCCAACCATTCTGACAGTAGCATGTCACCTGCTATGTGACCTCCATCAAATAACTCAGTCTTTCTGAGCCTCCGTGGCTCAGATTCGCATCTAAGTTGAGCCTCGTCAGATGTTTTGGATATGAAGTAGCGAGTGTGGGCAGTGTGTCACAGAGATTCCTGGCTGTTCCTCTCTCCTACATCCAGGGCTGGGAACAGTTTATCCATGGGGAGGAAGGTTGTTTTTTCTTCCACTGTGTAAGACTAGCTTTTGTTAACTACAAATTCAAACAAAGAACAAGCTTTATAGCATTTCTGCCATGAACTACAGTTTGGGAATTGACTAAGGTGCTTAATTCTGCATGTGGTAGGATGTTAAGGCTACACAGGAACAGGAAAGGGTCAGTCCCCAATGCTGTCAAACCCAGGATGCCTCCTTGCGTGTGACCTGTCATGAGCTTGTCCTCCCCCAGGCAGCTGTGCCATCAGCACAGTGGCTGTGGAAAGCTGTGCTTCTAGAAGATGGAGGCATAGCTGACAGTCTGTGAAGAGCACCACCCATGAATGGAGGTGTCAGCAGGGAAGCAGAGCAGATGAGCATCCTGTGCTTTTAAAGGAAGGATACAGCCAAAGGAGGATTGAGTAGGGTCTGGGTTGGGACAGGCATGTGGGCTGTGTTCTGACACTGCTCCATCACTGGACTCATGACCAACATTCTCTGTCATGATTCTGGACTTTGCAAGGAGGCATTAGAAGGATAGAACTTCCCGAACTTCCCTGCAGGAACTAGTGTTCAGACACAGCAAAGTGGTGAGAAAAGCCTCCAGGTCAGTATATGCCTAGTCATCTGGATGTGGGTCCCCAGTTCCAGGCCTTGCTGTGTTCCTTGTTGTCCTCTTCGAAAGCCCAGGCATCTCTCCTCCCATGCTCTCTGTGGTCCTTTTCTGAAGCCTGAGTGTCCCCTCCCTTGTTCCCTACAGTCCTTTTCCAGGTCCCAGGTGTCCCCCTTCCTGTACTCCATGGCATCTTCTGTAGCTGCAGGTAACCCCATGCTTTATAACATCTTTCTCTGGTTTTTGCTGCTGAAAACCAATTATCCAGTAGGAGGTGTTCATAGCTACCATTTAGTATGCACTCACTGTGGGTCAGAAATTTGAGGAGGGTTCTGTCAAGAGACCTGTCATTATGGGCTTTAGCTCTGAGCTCTGCTGGTTGGGTTCCCATCCATAAAGGCTGGAAGCTGCTCTGAGGCCTTATGAGGTCGTAGCTGGCTCTGCCTGTGGTGAGTGGCCCTGACAACTGGGGATGAGGCACCTCTGTTGTTTTGGTCACAATTCCAGTTCAGGGGAGGACACAGGTCCCCCCTCTCAGATGAGCGTATGAGAAGGATTTGTGGCCATGTTCACAGCCACACACAGATTATCTGCTCTGTGATCTCTGGTCATTTGAATATCTTTCCCTTGTGGGAACAGTGAATTCCTGAGCCACACCTTCTGAATTTCAAATGCTGCAGATCTGTAAGAATTTTACAAATAATGTGTTCTAGAAAGAGTTTTAACATCTATGACATTGGGAACCTATTTACTAGCATACTATTGTAAACTCTTTCAGAGCAGTTGAGTGTTTCCTCCCAGGTGCTGAGCTGTGAGGAAAGCATCAGGATGTGGCCTCTGCTGCCTTTGCCGGAAGAACCCTGTCAGGACACAGCCAGGTTTGTTGTCTTGGGCTGTGCGGCTCCCAAGGTGATCAGCTGCAGTGGGTGTCAGGGAGCTCCTCCTCCCCAGGGCTGCTGGAAGTCAATGGGAAAGGATTTGCTGGGCCTGTGGGCTGCTGTAGGCAGGGAGAGCTGGAGGCCCTACTGACTGACCTCCAGACAGAGCACACATCTTGGTTTTTTTGTGGGGATAGTGGCATCCATAGAGAACAATTCAGGAGACAGGAGTCTGCTCCATCATGGTGGCACATGCCTGTAATGCCAGCTACTTGGGAGACTGAGAACATGGCATTTCAAGTTTGAGGCCAGCCTGGGCAACTTAGGGAGACCCTGTCTCAAAATAAAAGCAATAGATATGGAGCATTTGCCTAGCATATCTGATTCCCTTCCTTAGTACCTCCCCAAAAAGAAAGAAACAAAAAACAAAGGAAAGGGGATTCCAGAACTCAGGAAGAAGAGGTGGAGATACTAGTTTTGGGATCATAGAGTGTGGTAGACATACTTATTTGATGGAGTAAGTTTTGGGTGATTTTTATAGATCACCTTTTGTCAGCGTAGGACATTGCCTGTTATATTATTTATTCTTTCCACTCGGTAATGGTATTCATTTTTATTTTATATTTGGGAAAGCTAAATTTCAAGTTTCTTGCTTGTTGAACACTGTAGTAAATTACTTTGCGTAGGCACTAATGTGGGCATTTTACTATTACTGTGTGTCTTTAAATGTTTTGTTTTTCAGAATGGAAGATAGCGAAGCAAGTGCATGCTACTCTTTAGTTACAAAAATTGTGCACGAGCTCTGTCATCACGTACCTGAGAATCATTGTGCTCTTAGTGTCTTCGGTGATCTTCCTGCTGAGGAGTGAGTGCAGGATAGGTGACATTTTAAACATCATTAAGCAGATAAGGATAGAAAGTTCAGCTGTTTTCTGCATTAAATTTCAGAAGCCAGTGTTAGTGCCCTAAGCAGAATTATCAGATAAGGTTTGGTTATTGTGCAAATGTCGGTGTATCTGATGAGGTTATAAATACTCTTCTGTTCCCACAATTCCGCAGTATTTAACATATGCCGTGCGTCCACAGACCATCCCAGGCTTGTGCCCCAGAGCTTTGCAGGCAAGCCCATCTGGGCATAGGTCTTGCAGCAGTGCTCTGAGGATGGGACACGTCCCCTAACAGTCTTACTCTTGCTTGCAGGTGGCCCCGGCTGCTTGGTGCACTGTGCAACACGCATGTCTCCATGCTCTTCTGCCCCAGAGTGGTGCTCGAAGTGCTGGGTGTGCTCCGTAGCATCACTTCCCACTGCCAGCATGTGTCCAACCAGGTGGTCACCTCCCTGCAGCTGAGGCACCAGCAGTGGGAGGAGCGGAGGCTGCGCTCCAGGCAGCGGCGAAACTACCTGAGCATGCGGGCCAGGTGCGGTTGGGCAGGTGTGGTAGGAGGCAGCTGAATATAATTCTGGTCTTTACTTAATCCTCTATCTTTCTCAGGTAGTACACACTTTGTACGTGCTTTTTAAAATAACATTTATAAGTTTGGCATACAGAAGTGTGGTTTCCACCTACCCAAATGTATATTTGGACCTACAATCTAACAGCATGTTAACTTGGACTTCTCAGCTTTATGGCTTCTTCACTTGACAGCATATATTTTGGAATATAAGAAAAGTCCATTTTGGAAAATTTCTAGAATTTGAGTTGAGCAGTGTGGGTTTTCCCTGTGCTTGTAATAAGAATTGGTGGATTGCTTTTGGAGAGTGCTTGGTGTATACTCTTACAGTTGGTAAGGTAATGCCACTGTATCGCTTCCTCCCTAAAAGAGTATTTTTAAACATCTTTACTGGTTTTAAGGGAAAAGAAATCTGACTTTTTAAATTAGCCTTTCTTTGAATTGGTAAGTATCGGACACACTTTCATATTTAAGCCATTCGTTTATCTCTTTTTGTAAAAGTTCTTTACTGAGCTTGAAGTAGTAAGAAATAGACTGATGACTGATGACTGAGGACTGAGCAGCTGTACTGGCGCCGCTGGCTAGCCTGTGTGGGGCAGGGCTGCTGTGACTCAGACCAGACAGGGCGCTGTGGCCCAGGTGCAGGACAGAAAGCACGTGCTGAGCTCACAGTGTCTGGAAAACCATCCTCTGAGATGCTTGGATTTAAGGATGTTTGAAAAGATGTTGGTTAGGGGAAAGCTGGTTTTCCTTATGGAAGTAGAAGATAATTATGTTTATCAAATTGTAATTTACTTTTATCCATTTCCAGTATTAGGCTTCTGTCTCCTGTGCTTTACCTGATTTTATTGCTCGTTGCACTGGAATTGGTCAACATTCATTTTGTCCATGGAAAAAATACTTATGAATATCACCAGTATCTAAAGTAAGTATGTTCTGTTTATAAGAAATCATGTTTGGGTAATTTTTGAGTAATTTCCACCCCTAACCAACTGCCTTTGAAAATGTTAATAACACCCCCGCCACACACCACCACCACCCCGCAGATTCTGATGGACTTTAGCTGACTTTTGTGGGGTTTTAAATTTATTTATTTATTTTTGGTACAAGGGATCAAACTCGGGACCTTGTACTTGGAAGGCAGGCAGTGACACCACTGAGCTAAATCCATGGCTCTGCCCTTTGTGTTTTCAGTGCTAGTAAGTTTATGAACATTTGAGACTGATGCCCACATGGGCATATTTCATAAAATTGGATATGGGTCACTTGAATCCTTCCAGAATTCTTCAATCTGTGCAGAAATAACATGGTGCCCGGGTCCAGGCTTGATGAGACTCTGGAATATGATGTTTTCAGGAGCCTGAGGTAAAGTCTGAGCCCCCTTGATGACTCCAACAACTGTCTCAGGCAAAGGCCTGAAGTCTGGGCTGTAGAACAGACCCTGCCGTGTCCAGACGGCTCAGGGCCAAGTAGATTTGTTGTATATTACTAACAGCTTCCAATTTGGGAGGAGCATCCAGAGCTAGGAATCCATAAGAAGATAACCTATGTGTCAAACACTTCATGAAAATCCGGAGAGTCAGACCTGAGGAGGCCCCTCAGACAGACCAAGCCAAGGAGCAGCCAGTACTCAGAGGTCACTGCCATCAGTGAAACCTTGCTCCCCTTCCTGGCAGTTCTTGATGTCTTTCATTGGTCTAAGCTAGTGATGGTGAACCTTGGAGAGCTTTCGGTGATACAAATAACCTGCTGTGGCACGTGTGCCATAGGTTGGCCACCACTAGTCTAAGCTAATGCTTTGCAGGTATCAGGCACATTCTTGCACATTTCAAATGAACCAGAAAATACAACTGCAGCATTAGATGGACACTAAGCCCAAGGAGAGTGCAATGTCTGTGTGTAAGATGCACACACTGGTGACCCTGGCCAAAGCTCTCAGCCAGGTACCTTTAGCATTTGCTCTGAGCCTTCTCTGGAGCACCTGCCCGCTGCAGCAACCCTGGCCTCCACCTACATGTATGAGTAGCACCCCCTAGTTGTGACAGAAGTGGAGCAGGCATAGCTGGATATTCCTGGGGACAGAATCGCCTAGTTCACTCCCCTAGGAGTCCTGTGGTTTGTGGTTCAGATTTCAAGATAAAAATTGGAGACGTTTGTGTTGCTTGGGAAACTTTGAGAACTCTGGAAAAGTAAAAATGACATCCTTAGTAGTAAACATAACTTTCAGTCATTTTGATGGATCTTTTAAGGAAGAGCATTCCTCATGGCCCTGGCTGTCTCACAGTGGTATGGTCAGCTATCGGAGGCCTCTGTCCCAGGGGAAGGGGTGTGTGCAGATGTGGAGGTGTCTCTGTAGGCCAGACCCTGTGCCTGCATCCTTGTGTGGGCTGTGTTCCTGTTCTGGGTCATTCCAGCACAGAAGGTCCTGGAGCTCCTTTCTACAATTACATTCTGTCACTTAAAGCATCATAGCTGGATTTGAGAGCATGTATGAAAAGGCACTTGATTTTTATAAAACTTCTAGGAGCTGGTCCAGGTATTGATGACGTTTACTTCTCAGCATTTTTATTTTTCCTATAATTTGCATTCTCTTATTTCATCTTGCACATATTTCTTTTTCTGAATCCAAAGATAAAAATTAAGTCATATTCAACTCTAAGAATAATTCCCAGAGCATTAAGAAGACAATTAAGTCATTATTCCATTTTATAATGTATAGACAAGTCATTTTCTCTTTTATTAACAGGTTCTTTAAGTCAGTCTTGCAGTATTCTGAGAACCTTGTGGCCTATACCAGACCAGAGAAGAACAAGTGGAGAGAAACCATCAGTCTTACACATGCAGCTTTGATGAAAATTTGGACTTTTACTGAGAACAAACAAATGTTAATACATTTACGCAAGAAATCCACAAGTAAAGCAATTCTATGAAAACACAAGTCAAGATGTTTGGATTGCCTCAAAAAACTAACTGAATTAGATTTTAACAGCATGTAAATTGAATATCCAGCAGGGCATAGATTTGAGAGTCCATTTGTATTTCTGCAGCTTTGTGATGTGTTCTTCCTGAATGGTCAGTATGACCTTCAGGCTGGCCTCTGCGGTAACCAGATCACTGAAATAGGTTTTGGTACCATGTCCTCATAACATAGGTTGCAGGAAGTTCCATCTACTTCTCACCCAGCTGGTACCCAGAAAGATATGGCTTCACAGCAATCACTGGCCAATGGTCAGGCCAGACCAGCCTCTGGGACAGAGCAGTTGGGTTCAATGGAATTGTCTGATTCAGTGTATTACACGGGGATGCATGACCCACACACTTGAGCCAGGTCTTTGGCACATGATCTCAGGGACACATGACTTTCATCCATGTGATGTCAGGTCCTTGGTCTGTTGCCTCAGGGATGTGTGACAGACACGTGATGTCAGGTCCTCAGTCTTACTACCTCAGGGATATGTGACACATTGGATGCCAGGTCCACATGTACCACATTAAGAACTCTTGACTTATACATGATACCAGGTCTTCAATGTACCACTTCAAGAACACATGACACACATGATGCTGGGTACTCAATGTACCACCTCAGGGTCTCATGACACACATGAGGTCTGGTCCTCTGTACCATCTCAGGGATTCGTGGCCCATGCATGATACCATGATTTGTGTGCACTAGTCAGAGACACATGCCTCACATGCATGAAGGCATATTTTCTCGCTTCACTCAGGGACATAGAACTGTACTTTTAGCTGTGCTGTCCTTGCTGTATCACAGCCAGAAGTGTGATGTCCTTGCTCCATTCATGTGGTGTGAAACTATACATTGGAAAGGATAGGCTAGAATTTCTTCATTATATCTCTTCCTTTTGTATCTCCTAATTAATGTGTGGTCTGATATCTGAACCATTTGAATATTATCATTCTCTCGTTTTTACCAAGTAATTCTAATTCTTGCTTGAGCCTTTATTATCAAATGCTAATCTTATGTTGCTAGTATGAGTGCTACAGGGTTGTCATTTTCCTCTGAGGAAGAGATGCAGCTTCCAGCATAATTAGCACATTAATTACAGTGTTGCCTGCCAGAAATAAAGCCTGTCATCCAACACATCTAATAAACATATAAGGGTGGTTCAGCGGGGGGGTGGGGGGTGGAGGGGCAGGTGTTTTCACTTTGGGAAGGACCCATTACTTGCTTTTTGAAATCTTAGAAACCAATTGAACTGTGTCCCAGTTCATTTTATGTTAATACTGTTGAATGTGCTAAATACCAGGCTCTGAACCCTTTGCTGAGTGCACAGATAAGGCCTGCCTAACCTCTAGTCCAAGCAGCTCATGCTGCTCATGTCTGGCCAGTTCTTTAGTGGAAACAGTAATCAGAAGCCAGTCATGCTGGCACACACATGCAATCCCAGCACCTGGAAGGCTTACACAGGAAAATTGATAGTTCAAGGTCAGTTGGAGATATACACTGAGATCCTGTCTTCAAAAAGAAAAATTATGAGGCAAACAATAAGATCGGAGAAAACCCTCAAATCTGCCACTTGCAGCTACAAGACACTGGCTACTCAAGGAGTCAGCCCAGTGAGGGAAGTGGTAGCGCTAGGGCGAGGCCCAAGAGCTGGCTGCACCCTGGCAGAGACTGCAGCTCCACAGTTTACTAGCTTCACAGAGTACTAACTCCTGGCAGTTTGGCTTCCTTGTCTGTAAGGTGCTAGTGAAGATATCACCTACCTGGTTAGATCGAAGCCAGGATACAATGAGATAGTGCTTGGGAATGCTCCCCTAATCTCTGACAGAGACCAGTAAACATTAGCTCTTACCTGTTAATTCTATACCTGAGCAGAATTACTTGGATTCCTTCTAAGGCAGGCTCTCTGTGGGTGTACCCAGAGGATGATGGTCTTATCTTTAAGAGGCAATCCAAATTACCTTTGCATACCTTTGGACTTGTCTCGGAATTCCCATGCAGCTTTATATAAGTGGGCTGGTGGGGGAGCAGCTGCCAACTACACATCCTCACCTCATGTCCCAGCCAAGAGTAGCTTTTGGTTCAGCTAGAAGTGCCCTTTGAGCCATGGATCTGAACCCCTGGTGTCTGGCAATACTGCTCTCTGCCCGTCTCAAGGCAGGTGTTGGGGTGTCTGCAGCTGGTACATCTGTATGTGGCCATCAATGGAAATGCATCCAGGTGCATTGGCCACTGGCTAAACAGAATGCTGGTGGGGGCTCACTTCTCATTTTGCTTGTTTAGGGATTTGAGGAAGAAGCTACTCTTTCGGACAAGTTTGGATTCTTGGAGCACAATGCTGCCAATTCTATTAGTGTAACTTTCTAGGCCCGGTTTGTAAGCATTGTTTGCATTTTCTATAGTGAGACACAGGGTGGCGCTCGTTGTTAAGCAATGCCGTGGGTAGGCATGCAAGAGAGAGTAGTTTGTATGAAGATAAAAGGCTGCTGTGAAGGAAAGTGGCTTCAGGATCATCGGTTCAGGGAAAACATTCATTCCTTTTTCCTTTGCCTGGAAATGATAGAACTAAGGTTCTGTTAATGGGAAAAGTGAACCATTGGTCCAGAACGAGGACCATGGAAAGAATATCACCCTCACCCGAGAAATGAGATTTCCATTCATTTATGTGCTGATGAAAGACAAGGACAAACATGGTCTGAAATCTCTCCCATTTGAGGGAAGCCTGGGTCTGGGGATGTTCCCTGTGCGGAGAGCCTTTGAGGGGAACAGCAGCATGGCTGCTGGTGGTCATGAAAGATGAGCGAGGTCCCAGGTCACTGTTCCCAAATCATTGTCCTGTGGGATATTCATCCACTTGCTTGGGGGGAAAGCTCTTTGTTTATGAAACCAGATGAGCTCCTGCAGAGGACCAGGCAGGCTGCAGATTTGCTGTGGAAATTGTCTTCTGATAACTCATCTTTCCAAGGCACAGGCTGCATTTGTATCTTCACATCACTATAAATCTGTCAATGCTGCTATAGAGAAGGGAGCAGGGCCTTCTGCTGGGCGTGTGAAGGCCCATTTGTGTACAGCTTTTACAGGCTGTCAAAGGAAATTCTTTACACTGGGTAAAAGGGAGTGGCTGTGGTTTGGTTTATAGCCATACTAAATAATTTTAATAAAACTAAATCACTGTGTTGCTTACAGTGTCTGTGAGCATCAGAGGAAGACCTAAATCATAGTCCTCCTGCAGTTCCTCACCTCTGGATTTCCCAGGGACCGTGGGTGACACAGTATTGGAGTAATACAGTATCAGTATGAAGTCACTGGGGACTGTTTAAAATACATCTGTGATCACATGTTAAATTTTTCCAAATAAAGCCCTGGATGCATTCAGGAAGTACTTTTGACACATCATTTAATTACTTTATAATAAAAGTATTTTATGTTAAGTTCAAAAAACCAATTGTAAAACTAAGCCCTATACTAGTGATTATAGTTTGTGAAGCCTGTAAGCACAGACTTATCATTATAAATATTAAATACCACCCTTATGGTAAGCTCATTTATTTTCAAAGCACTTTGCGATCATTAATCGCTCACATCTTTGAATTGCTCACATCTCCAAGGCAGTATTATTAAATCCACTTACAAGAGTAGAAACTTGGGCACAAAAGACCTAGAATTCATTACCCTGCAGAGGAAAAGCAGATGCCAGGAATGCTGGCTTGTCCTTTTCCAGGTCTGCCAGAGTTCTGCCAATGCTCACAAAGTTCACTCGCCCTCTTCCACACACAATCGTCCTGCGCTCTGCCATTCCCTCTGGACTGTGACAATCACATCAGTGGGATGACCGGCAGATTGGTTATTCTGATGTCTACTACCACAAAAGTGGTGCTATGAGCTTCATTTTATAGATGTGAATGAAGGGAGTGGTCATGGGAAGGTGACCAGGGCCCATCGCACAGCGCTGTCAGGCTGTGGGGCTGAGTTTAGCTCACTGCCTGCCGGTCATCAGGAGGCTATAGACAAGCATGGTGAGGCCTATTAGGTGCCCAGGTGGTGGGCACAGAGCCACAGTATTGCTGCTCCAACCCACTTGGTTTGTGCTTAGTTTTACGTAAGATGGTGAAAGGAGTTGAGGGCCTTCTTTGTACTTTCCCACACAGAATGTGGCAAAACTCAGTGGGAAGTCCAGGCCATGACTCACCCTCCTTGAACAAATCTTCCCTCTGAGATGTTGAGACTGACTGCTTTGAGTGGTCAGACATCAGGGAGACTGTGAATCTTCTTTTTGCCCTGGGCACTGGCCCTTTTACAGGCCCCCTATCTCTTGGGTTGGATTCCTGCCTTTTTGCCTCAAGACTTGGCAAGACACTGCATCCAGCTTCTTGTTTTTCTGAGGAGGGCTGCACTTCTGTTACTTACAATTAGGATAAACGCTAACATTGGCCTTTTCAGCTTGGGCTGCTGTGACCACAAATGGGGTTAGACACTCCGGGCACCTGATGAATTAATGAGCAGGACATTTACTCTGTGTTTACTCAGGATGGGCAGCTGCTGCACACAGTAGGGCAAGAAACAGGAAGATGTGAGCCTCACCTCCAGCCCCAGGACTCTGGTCCTGTCCAGGTGGTGTGGTAGAGGCCAGAGTGGTTGGCCCTACATCTCCCCTCAGAGGGCACATCTCAGCTGCGCTCCTCAGCCCTGCCTGTGCCTGGTGAGCTCACAAAGTGTCCAGGGACCCCATGGTCATTAGCCAGTTTGTGCCACTGCACGCCATCATTCCACAGTCCCAAGGAGCCACACCTAATCTCACAGTCTTTCCAGAGCAGGGGTCTCCCCAGTTCTGACAGCTATTGCTCTCCTCATATTGTGAGCCTATGAATCCGGGGCACTGAAGCACCCTGCCTACAGCTGCCCAGGGTGCTTGCTCCATGCCCAAGGCCTGGGTCGGACAGGCACCGGAAGCCTGAGATGAAAGAGTCTGCACACTTTTCGAGAACGTTTGTAAGGATCTGGTTTCCTTCTCACTCCTTTGGGGCTGTGGAGAACGAGTGATTTCCTTGTCAACCCCACTTTGTGTTTCCATGGAGTAACTACACAGGGAAGCTTCACATGTTTCCAGAGAGAATCACTGCTTCCTGCCACAGCTGCTGTGTCTTTATCTGTGATGAGAGAATCGCTATTCGACTGCAGCTGGATCAATCTCTGCAAGTCCAGGTGCCAATCCAGGGTCCCCATTGCTCCCACATGTCAGCAGCAGCTGCATTCAGGGGGCCACAGTGAGGCCTCCAGCTCCTTCACAGATAATCCCGGGGACAAAAGAGAGCTGCAGGGAGCTGGTAGGCACTGGCGGGGGTGGTGGGAGCCAGCGGGGCAGGATACCTGGGGCGGGCTGCCAGGCTCCAAAGCCAGGGGCTGACTCCGGCCAAGACGAGGAGTTGAGGCCTGGCCCCAGAGTAAAGGACAGAGGCAGCTGCAGGTGGCAGAGAACCCACTCGAGGTACAGGTGAAGTGAGGTGCAGGTGATGTGTCAGGGCACACAGGCAGCAGTGTTGTCACTGTTCCCACAGTAACGGAAGCAGGTGTTACTGACTTCAAACATGTCATCAGAATGAGTCCTCACAGCACCCCACGAGGCAGGGTCCTTTCGGGGAGACAGATGGCACCAGGCTATGGTGGGCAGGGTCCGATATCGTTACTGAGGCTGAGATCGACACTACTGTATAAAATCTGGCATTTGGAGGCCCAGCCGTTTCCAAAACCCGCTGGGTGTGGTGTGTTAGCACTCATCGTTCTCCTGTCTGGCTGCTTCCTGTTTCCAGGAAAGTCCGGAGAAGGTTGGAAATGCTCTGGTTTAAAACTGCTCTGCTGGGCTGAGATGCTACAGAAACGAAGAGCGAGCAGAAGAAGTTGTTTTCTCCCCAGCAAAGGCCTGCAGAGCCCAGCTGTGAGAGGGTGGTCCCGCTTTAGACGGCGTTCCTCACACATGTGGTCATCTCTGCACATCCCGTGGGTCACCCCTGCTGCCTGGGCTTGCTGTGTGGAGGCGGTGTCTGTGGTCGGGTCACCCCTGCCTCGGGCAGCAGCCTGAGTCTGGGCCGTGGTAAGGAAGTGGCTGCAAGGCT